AGCTTGTGTTAACCACAGATCTATATCAGGGATCTAACCATAAGCGGAACCGAAAGTGCAAAAATGCTAACTAATTTCCGGGTTTAAGGACCTGCACCAACTGATTGTGTTTGTTGATTTCTCTGTTCTATTTTTAATTAATATATATATGTCAACTAATACATGGAACTTTTGTTTTTTTGATAGAACGAGGACAAAGAATCAGGTTTTGATTTGAATAATTTATGTTTTTGCACTCTGGATCTGTTTGGTGCTGGAACTGAAACGACCACTACCACTTTACACTGGGGACTGCTGTTCATGATCAACTACCCTCATATTCAAGGTGTGTGTTTGTTTGATTAGTACCTGTACACACCCATTCCTGCATGTTTTGTTAGCATCGTTACTTGACCTTACTTAGTGTGATGCACAACATTTCTCCGTCATGTATGCAGTGCCCGGACTCACACTGTTTCCTGTTTCCACTGTGCAGAGGAAGTCCAGGCAGAGATAGATTCTGTGGTTGGTTCATCCAAGCAGCCGTCTGTGACTGACAGAGAACACATGCCGTACACTGACGCAGTCATCCATGAAATCCAGAGAATGGCCAACATTCTTCCCCTCAATTTGGTCCGCATGACAAACAAGGAGACCACACTGGACAAGTACACTTTCCCAAAGGTACGCGGTGCTTATTATTTGTTCTGTTCATTGGATTTGCTATTAGCATAACCAGTCACTCAACTATGTAAAGATCATGTGAATCAAAAACAAACAAACAAAAAACAACATTTGATAAAGTACCCTGATTTCTATTCTGTTTGGTAGCTTTTCATGTACCACATGATTTTGATCAGCCCAGGTGTCGTGCTTTTTTTAATGTTTTAATTCATTTGACAACTTGTGTTTCCAAGGTTGAGAATGAACCTACAGTAGAAGCTGACCTTGTCATCTTTTTTTAATCATGTTTCTTTTTTGTTTATTAAAACAAACTAACTTGAAGAATGCAAACAAAGAGACATTTCCCTGACTGGATTCTCCTCAGGGCACCATGGTCCTGCCCACACTGATCTCCGTTCTACGAGACGAGTCCATTTGGGAAACTCCTCACACCTTCAACCCTCAGCACTTTCTGGACCAGGATGGAACATTCAGGAAGAGAGAAGCCTTCCTTCCTTTTTCAGCAGGTTAGTTGATAGTTATATCTTTCAAATGGGACGGTTTGTAGTGTTTTGGGGTTTAATGATGTGCCCATCCAGTCAGTGTGTAACTCCCCACAGACAAAGGAGCAGGCACAAAGTCTGAAAAGTGAATAAAGATTGTGTGAATACATCTGATGTTTTGTGTGTTCTCAGGTAAGCGTGTGTGTCTGGGGGAGCAGCTGGCCAGGGCCGAGTTATTTCTCTTCTTCACCACCCTCCTTCAGAGGTTTTCCTTTGCGGCCCCCCCAGGGGTGCAGCCAACTCTGGAGTACAAGTTAGGAGCCACGCACTGCCCCAAACCCTACAGCCTCTGTGCCGTCCCACGATAAACCCCCAACTGTCCCAAACTCAACCTCACACATCAATAACTGTGTTCCTACATTTACTCTGTTATAATCTCTCAGAGAATAAAACATTGTTGGGACTTGGTTTTCTTCTATTCAATTAGTTGTCTTTTTAAGCTTGGTAATGTAATGTACTGTATTTGTATACATATTTGTATTATTGTATTTTTGTATTCGGGATTGTTGGAAACGTTATTTCGATCTCTCTGTCTGTATACACAAACTTTGACTTCTGTAATCAATATCCAATCAAATAATGTACAGTTTAAATACTACTACCTTCCTTTCTACTGCAAATAAACGTAGGGGTGAGTGGGGTAAGGGGAGCCCATTTGTACGTATGCTGTCCTTTAGGCAAGGAACAATTAGATAGTCTTACCACAACAACGAGCTTTACTTCAGGAACTCTTCTGTCAATCAAAATGATAATAATGCATCTACTGTATCACAAAGGGCCATGAAAATATGACTTCTCTTTTTATTGTGGCTTATCTCAGGGCTAAGTCGATCTGCGGCAAAGGGGAAATTGAGCCATCTGGGGTTAAATGAACCAACTGACTCTTCAGATGTTTAAACCCGAGTTGTTTGGTACAGGAATGTTGTTTCTGTCTGTAATTCAAAGCCAGTTCTCAGCATTTCTTTGGAGTAAGGCCACGGAACTGCTCAGCAGTTTTTGGATCTGGTCTGAAGCCCCTTCTCTCTCCTGTGAAGACCCTCTTTCCTCTGCTGTTCCTCTCTACCTCCTGTTTCCTCTTCCTTTCTCTTTATGTCTCTACGCAGGGTTGACCTGTCAACATTTCTGTCTTTTGCCACTGCTCTGATGGATTCTCCAGCCTCTCCATCAGTGGCTCTCTCCATCTCCTCAGTCTTTCTCTTGGACTTTTTTAGCATGATGGCTTTTCTTCAATGTTTAAAACATAAAAATCAGTTGTGTAAAACTACATCGAAATACCATGTTATGACAAAGACTTAACTTAACTTCAGTGCCTCATGGGGGGTTAAGTTGAACCACTGGCTCACTTTACCCCACAGCCCCTTTTTGGAAAGAACTTTCTATCTTAGTCCTTCATGCTAATCTTTAGCTAAATGATTCACATGGTTTTACTCCTTGCTAAATAACCAACATGTATGAAACATATTTTCAGACCTGGATTTGCTTTGACGTAACAGTTATTATACCTGACATGTTGAACATTTACTTTGACAAGCCAAACATGGTTTATTGTGAAAGAAACACATTTACCACTTTACCATGTGCTTCTCTCCATCACAGCCACATAGAAGTGATGGGGGCTTCCTGGATTTATGGTCACATTTATGTGCACAGTTCCTTAGATAAAGGGCTTGGGTCCACTTACCCACCGGCTCATCTTACCCCACTCTCCCCTATTCTATTGTTGTAAACCTTGTGGAAATAAATGATACTGAGATTTAGTTTGTGTTCTTATTCAGACTGGTGTGTTTATTTCACAGTCAGAGGTTTGGCCAGTGAGTCAAAACTCAAAAGAGAGAATAACATGCAGTGAGTCTCAGCGCTGTTTATCAACCTGAGCATGTGTGATATAAGGAATTGAATCCAACAGGCTAACTAAGAGAAATATTTGGGTGTTTTTTATTTAAATTTGAGAATAATTGACCTCCTTACGAAATGTGTTTTACCCAACTTAATTATTATACTTAAACAAATATTTATTGAATGTGTTTACCTTGCCATTCATCAACACATTTTAATTGACTTTAAAATAAAGGGCCAATGGAAAACAAACCTAATGAGGTTGCTGTAAAGCTACGATCATCATCTTTTTTTAAATTTGATATGTTACATGTTGTTTTCAGCAATCGGAGAGTTAACCTCAACTGAAACTTTGTGGGAATAAAGAACTGGCAACTAGGGCATGAAATGACTGGAGCTCAAAGTTTATGCATTTAGTAAACCACCCCTAAACTAATGTAGGTCACTGGCCTCTTTAAAGGTCCCATGTCATGCTTTTCCGGTTATTACCCGTCCCCTTGTGTGTTATGAAGGTTTTTCTGCATGTAAACGGTGTGCAGAGTCAAAAACCCTCAAAGTACACCCTGTAGAGAGTAAAACTCTAACACAGTCTATGCTGCCCCAAAACGCCTCATTGGAGATTTCTCATTTTCCATTGTTTACTTCCTGGGTACTGTGACGTGGGGATACCCAGAGGCCGCACCCTCTGCCAGCCTTTCACGAAACAAAGCTTCACAAACCTTTCAGCGATTCATGCCGGATATGTACAGCGTAGGGCACTGAAAAACGATGCTGTTCCTACTTTGTTTGGACCAGCGGGAGATTCGGGTACACAACCTGTAAGTAACATATTTTTTCATGAAAAACGTAGGAAAATCTCTCCTAGGTTGGAAAATGAAACAAATTAAGAAGAAATATTAAACAAAATGCCTCTTGAGGGCATGAAGAGACAAAAAGTCCACCTAGCTCCCAATTGATTCCCATGTTAAATCTTTCCGGAACTTTCTTCAGAACAGAGAGAAGTACACTTTAGACAAACTGCTCCCATCTCCACATTTTACACACAAAACCAAAAAAAACAATATATATCAGTTCATTGGGGTTTCAAGCCACACTTATTGTTTTTACTTTCGGCTGTGAGTGTTTGTGTGTGCTCAGGATGAGTTTCGCTTGTTCTCGATGTATCGCCGACCCGGAAACCTGTCCGCTCCTCGCAGCAACGAGCCTCGCAACGAGCCTCAAGGCGTTTAGGACAGAGAGTGAATACACATACTTTACAGAGATGCTGTATGAGAAACCAATGTGAGTTTGGAACATTGAACAATGTAAATCTATTTTAGTAGACCTCAACAATGGAATTATGATCAGTAGAAATGGCCATGACAGATGTTCCATTAACACAACATTTAGCCAAAAGCATCTCTCAAAGCAAGTCATCTGAGGAAGGTGTAACGGAAGCGAAGAAGAAGAAGAAGAAGATATACTTTATAAATTACTTTTATCACTCACATTACACACATTGGTTGATACATCAGGGATGGGCAAACCCGGGGGTAAAACACAGGGGCAGCAGGTGAGAAGTCTTCCTGTCTTCAATGCATGGCAGGGGGCGAAGCAGCAAACAGCCACCATGTCTTCTGTACACAGATGGCTGAAGGTGACTTTTGAAGATCCCTTTAACATACAGACATTCCCATAAAGTCATTTTTTACCAATACATATTTGGTGATTCATAATACTAATATAATTTGTTAACAGCTGCTGAGTCATGCTGAGTGGATTCTAAGATTCACAATAGAGCCAGCCAGCTAACCAATCAATCATATATTCAGTCTATGGCTGCAGCACAGGCAGTATGAGAACAATAAAGAGCTTTTTGAACATGAAAGCATGGAGACATGTCACAGTAGAGGAACTACATTCTAATATGGACCTAAAAATGAGTCCTCTGTTAATGCGGGAACAAGAACACAAACACAATTTCATTTTTTACATATTTTATAGTTTTTTAATATTTAAAACTGTTCCACAATCAATCAAGTCAGAAACCAAATAAATGATACACAAAATAAATGTTCCTCTTATGAGGAAAGTTATTGACACTGAACAATTATTTTTAAACTATATTCTCAGTGGTCAATTGGTTTTCAACGATGATAAACATCTGTTAACTTACTTTTCATTTTGATGACATTTTCGATAACACTTTAGCTCCCTTTTCATCAACAAAAGTGATGACAAATGCTGTGACCATTTTCATCTGAATTACCCCTGATGAACAATCAAATAAAGACACACAAAAGATGGACACAATACAAGCAGCATCTATACATCATGACGCGTCCCATACAATGGACATACAATAAATAAGTCTATAGCATCAGATTCCTGTCACAATCATTTCTGTGGCCAGTGTTCCTGGACTGGTTGTATTATGTTTAAGGTGCACCTGCTTTTGGTTTTTATGTCAAACTATCAGATAAGCAGCATGTTGCTGACTTCAAACAAAATGGTTTCTTTGTTTGTGCGTATGCTGCCTTAGATCAGGACACTTAAACATCAGCAGATGGCACTCAGATGTCAACCCGAGGCACTTGGTAAGCATGCACATTCTGTAATAAACATTGTTTTACATTTCATTATGTAATCACAAAATAAAGCCTATCATTAAACTATTTTCACATATCTATTAACACTGTACAATCTCTCTGTTCACAGATGATCTGAAAGCCATGTTGCGCTGTCAGCCTCTTCACCAAATCACAGATCTGCACTCAGCATGGCGTTCAGCCTTTGTGACATTCAAGTGCTTCTTAAAATGCAACAGTCAAATAAAGCAGCTTTAGTGACTAGCTACGACAAAATTAATTGTTATACTGTACTACACATTTCATTGTTCTTATGATCTCCTTTTCTGTGCCTGCACAGTCAAGGACAGGGGGGGGATTAAATACGGAGCTTTCAAACTTTGAAAACCTTTAAATTAGTTTTTCCTTTAAATACAGTTAACTTAATAAAATCACACTCAAATATCCCAGGGATACTTATGAAGCTCAGCGTAAGTTCAATCAGGAAGACCAAGCTCTTCATTCAGATTACACGTCACCTCATTACACTCTCCCTCATTAAGTGATCGGGGGCGTCTCTCCCCAGCTAACCAATCTCTCCTCTCTCCATTCTCACAAGCCTATCATAGCTCCCGCTAATCCCTTTATATCTGCTCTTCCCTCTGTCAGCTGTCATTTCAGGTGACAAAACGCAACCCTCCTCCACCCCTTTCGCCTTTTTTGTATGATGTTGTTGAGAAATGTGTTAATATTTAAAGCCATAAACAGAAACTACTTAAATATAACCTTTAAATGATGTTACCATAGTTGCAACAATCATAGTTATGTTAGATCCATTTGTCACCATTATAGAGGAAAAGTCCAACTCTGACCTGAAGTGACATGTTTAGCATGTAAACACTGACTACCTCATCCATCCTCACTTCATTGCTTTCCAAATGGGACATTCAGGTTGATCTACAAAGCCCGGTCGTCCTGGTTAGTGGCAGATTAATAGAGTGGTGCAGGAATGAGTCCTAAACCTGGAAATGAGTTAGCATTTTAGCACATTAGGGCTCCCACGTCTCAAAGAGTTTTTGGTTGGATTCCCAAAAAAGCACCGTGGTTAACACAACCTTAAAAGATTTACGTTTTTTCTGCAACATAAAAAATGTCGGCAAACACCACACTGATGAATGTCTTAATGGCATAAAATGGCATGAAAACAGCGAATGCTAACAAATGTCTAAATGGGACTACTAAACCTCTGATGATTGCATTTACGCTTCAATTGTTATAAAACTAAGTTTTAGTATGTGAAAATGATCCCGCTGAACAAACGTGTAAGTATCATAGATGTGTGTGCCACAATGCTTATTTTCAAATAATCCTAAAATCCAATGTCTTCTTTTTGTCGATGGAGCCCTTGTCACTGCACCACTCTATATTATCTCACACATTCATTCAAACTGTATATAAAATGACAAGGTATTGCTAGGTGTATGTTTAACGTTTTGGAAAGGGCCAGGCTAGCTTTTACACTGGTCTTTATGCTAAGCTAAGCTAATCTGTTACATACAATTGAACATGCAGGCAGTAGTATCAATCTTCTATTCAACTATTTCTTTAGCATTACTCCTGCAGGTATTAATGATACTACCTGCTGCATTCAGCAAGTATCTACTGAAGAAGTCAAGCCAAAGTATTAGTAGCAACAGGAGCAATTTATTGAATTGATCAAGAGTTTGTTTCAATATTAATGAGTCTAACTTTTCTTTAGAGTAGACATTTAAAACATGTCTGTCTACTGTATATGGATTTCAATGACTACTTTTTTTACGGTGTTGTATTTTAGTGTTGCCTCTGTGTTTAGTGTCCTGTCTGTCTGTAACTTTGTGTGGTAGTGTTACCACTGACAGGTCTCTCTTGAAAATGAGACCTTGTGTCTCAATGAGATTTTACACCTATATAAATAAAGGCTAAATAAAATAAAATGTCCTTTCTGTATTGTTATGTCAAGATGACAAATAACGCTCAAAGCCCTAATATGTAGTCGTGCGTTATTGGCTTGCAGCTTTGCTGCTTGATTTGATGGATTACTTAAAGCAAGCAAGTTTCAAGCACATTCAGTGTTTGGAGAGCTAGTAACAGTAACAGTAAACAGGATTAAAGTTGCATACATACGCAATGGTCCTTAAATGCTGATATTTTTCTTTTAAATAATGTTTGGGTCAAGCATTTGGAGACTGGAAACATTCCCAGCATGCAGTTCACCTAACTCGTACATACACATATTCTAACATCTGGGCATTTAGAGTGTTTGTGGAGAAAGCAGCCCCCACACATAGGAGAACAGCATGTATCTCCAGGACTGAGGCTTAGCCAGAAAGCCACAGAGCTAACTACTGAGCCATCTTCACTAGTCATTTTGAAATGATTAGTGATCAAATCTAGAGAAAAGGCACAGAGATGTCTGACATTAGGGTTACAAATGTAGCTTCCTGGTCCATTTTAAACTGTGCTATTATGTGTTTCTTAAATGTTTCAAATACAAATTTGGTGAGTGGCATTTGCATCCTCACAATAAATAAACTATTGAACGTTATTTGTTGTGTAGCCATTAGCTGCAAGCCCATTGGCTTGGCTATTAGCAGTTCTACCATCTGATTGGGTTAGAGGAGCATTCTCCTTGTCTGATTGGCTGGCAGCCAACCTATCACGTTCTGCCTTTGCCCGGGTCAGGTTTCTACGGTGATAGAATAGATAGCCTGGCAACAGGAAGCCAGCCACGGACATGATGAGAAGGCCCAGATTAATCTGTAGGAGGAGAGACATGTCAGTGTTGAGAACAACATGTTTTATATTCTTTGTGTGTGTGTGTGTGTGTGTGTGTGTGTGTGTGTGTGTGTGTGTGTGTGTGTGTGTGTGTGTGTGTGTGTGTGTGTGTGTGTGTGTGTGTGTGTGTGTGTGTGTGTGTCTGTGTGTGTGTGTGTGTGTGTGTGTGCGTGTATGAGTCCATGTTCTATACCCAGTAAGGATCTCCATTGAGGTGTCCCAGCATCAGGATGAACAGTGGCTGTTGCAGCAGGGCGAAGGCAGCACTGATCATGGACTGCATGCCTGTCAGTGTTCCAAAGTGGTTGGCTGGATACCTGGAGTGGAACATGAGAGAGAAATGAATCACAACCCTGAAGCCCTGGATCCTGACCCTCTGACCCCCCTGTATGTGGGGTTACTTACACAGCTGCATAGAGACCTCCACAGCAGGAGTGGATAAATCCTCTCACTATGGTGTGCAGGACAAAGGACGCCAACTACAAGAGAGGAAAGAGAACCGACTGATAAACATGTTCTTTTGATTTGTTCTGTGTGGGAGTCTGTATGAGTTTAATATGTTTAATCATAGGTTGTAATCCAGTACAGGTTTTTTTTAACCTGGATGGGCAGGTTGTCAATCATGGAAATGATTCCGAAGGCGACCAATAGGAGGTTGGTGAAGATGAAAGCTCTCATGGCATTGGTCAGTTTCTGGATCTTTCTGTCTCTCTTTGTGGGATCATATTCGCTAAAGGGGACACATGCCAGGACAGCCGCCAACATCTCAGTTTAATGTACATGTGAGAGAAACTTTCTGAACCTACGCTATACAAACATCACCATACTGCATGTATAAATCGCCTCCTCATACCTGTTCTTTGCATTTTCCTCTTCACACTCCTTCAACCTCCAGTCCATAATGTAGCCAATCAAAGGACAGGTGGCAAGACACAACAGCTGCATCGTTCCGAAGATAGAGGAGTAGAAACCAACTAGGGAGGACAGGCAGAAGCAGAGTGAGGTCCACAGATACACGCTTCTATGTACAGTACTTAAATAATAAAGGTCAAAGCCTTCTCCACACTGTGAGGAAAACAATTGAGACAGAGAAATAAGGGATCCTGTGACACATGCCAGTAACATGGTAACTGTAAATAATGGGACGGCCATAGCTCAGTCTGTAGGGACTTGGCTTGGGCACCAGACGGTCACCAGTACTGGTACTTGAGAGGTGCCAGTTCAGCTCTTAGGCCCTGTTAAGGTACCCATGAGCAAGGCACCTTACCCTCACACTTCTCCCCAGGCACTGTATAGTAGATTCCAATTGCTTCTTATACTAGGATGTGTTAAATGCAGAAACTACATTTCACTGTGTGCGGTGCTGTATGCCGATTAAAATAGGATTATCCACACAGTGTTATTATATATATATATTAAATATCTGAATGATCTAAAAGCATTTTCAGAGACATGGTTTGTAGTGGTGATGTCCACTGTGACATTACCTTGTTCCTCCACCTCCTGCAGCAGCTCTTTTGAAGCTGAAACAGACAACAGCGTCAGACGCGTTAACACAATGTCATGACCCAGCTTTGGTCAATAAGACCTCGCTGAGGATCTGTTTTGTACGTCTACTATATGAACGAGTGTTGGTGTAGGGTAGAATTGTTACGGTTTGGCTGGCCGTGGGTGACCAGGAACTCCAGCATCTTGTTCATGGCACCCATGAAGAAGATCAGCCTCAGCTGGGTCATTGCCATGGTGATGACACTCCACAGTAAGATGGGCGAGCACACAGAGTGACAGAGTGGCAGCCCGCCTGAAGAGAGAGGGGGGGGGGGGGGGGGGGGTAGTTTTGCTGAAGACTGGATCCTTAGTTTATCATATTACCATGAAAAAAACGTGTCTGAACAATCGTACCTAGGCGACATAACTTCTAATTTAAGGAAAAGCTTGACAATTAAAACAAATCTGTGTATTAAGTTGAAGATTGAATCGTTAATCATTTGTAATGGAGCTAGGATGAGCTTAGCATAAATACTGTAGGCACAGCTCACCTGGCTCTGTTTAAAGCTCAAAAACAAGACTACAAGTACAACAAGAATGAATAATGTTATTACCTTGGGGTCGGCTTTGTGAGTCTGCATGCTCGGGTTCTGGCTGCTTGGGTCCCATCATGTCTTCCATGACAGCCACGTGGGTCACGTACCTGTCCCCAGTCACCTTGTCCTCAGTCACAACTCCACACAGCTTCACCTTTTTACTGCAGACGAAGAGGAAGACATCAAATAACTACAGTCCTTAGCTAATAAAGATCCACTGAAATCTACACATTTTAAACAACGTAGTTAAATACTATATTCTGATTGGTCTGTTTGGACAATCTGCAGTCCAAAAGCACATCGTTGCTAAGTTAAGTACACGTCCAGTCATAATAATCCGCAGAAGGAAGCCCGTTTATTTTAAAACCTCAGCAGGGTTTTTTTTATATTCTTTTTTTGTTTGCTAAGTATTGTCTATAGTAAAGAAAATGTAAAAAGAGAATAATATTTTTTTTTAAAGAGCAAGAGAAGGAAAGAGGTTAAAATACAGAAAGATGGAGGACAGGGAAATCAGCAGAAGACAGACAGGAAGTAAACACTAAAGGGAACAGCAGAAGAAAATCAGACAGGAAGTAAACACTAAAGGGAACAGCAGAAGAAAATCAGACAGGAAGTAAACACTAAAGGGAACAGCAGAAGAAGGCAGACAGGAAGTAAACACTAAAGGGAACAGCAGAAGAAGACAGACAGGAAGTAAACACTAAAGGGAACAGCAGAAGAAGGCAGACAGGAAGTAAACACTAAAGGGAACAGCAGAAGAAGGCAGACAGGAAGTAAACACTAAAGGGAACAGCAGAAGAAAATCAGACAGGAGGTAAACACTAAAGGGAAAAGCAGAAGAAGACCGACAGGAAGTAAACACTAAAGGGAACAGCAGAAGAAGGCAGACAGGAAGTAAACACTAAAGGGAACAGCAGAAGAAGGCAGACAGGAAGTAAACACTAAAGGGAACATCAGAAGAAAATCAGACAGGAGGTAAACACTAAAGGGAACAGCAGAAGAAGGCAGACAGGAAGTAAACACTAAAGGGAACAGCAGAAGAAAATCAGACAGGAGGTAAACACTAAAGGGAACAGCAGAAGAAGACCGACAGGAAGTAAACACTAAAGGGAACAGCAGAAGAAGGCAGACAGGAAGTAAACACTAAAGGGAACAGCAGAAGAAGACAGACAGGAAGTAAACACTAAAGGGAACAGCAGAAGAAGGCAGACAGGAAGTAAACACTAAAGGGAACAGCAGAAGAAGGCAGACAGGAAGTAAACACTAAAGGGAACAGCAGAAGAAGGCAGACAGGAAGTAAACACTAAAGGGAACAGCAGAAGAAGGCAGACAGGAAGTCAACACTAAAGGGAAAACAGTATGGGCTCTGGCAGAGTTTAAAGACTGGTTAAAGACTGCGATCCAATATAGAAGCCAAAAAAATAGTTAGTGTGTCTTCATGAGCACTGACGTGTATCTGACGTCTTCAGGTGCAGGGAAGGACTCAGCAGGCCAGTTCAGGAAGCAGTTGAGGAAGACTCCGCAGGCCATGGCCGACCATACCCACATGATGATGCGGAACGACACGCCCAGGTCATAGATAACCTGCAGCGGGGGGGGGGGGGGTGACAACAGAGAAGAGGATAGAGGAAAAGGATGAGTGGAAGAGAGGGGGAGAAGAAAATATGTTTTAAAAAAGTCTTATTGCTTCTTTGTATGTGATATACATATCACTTTGATAACAGCTCTTAAGATCACAGCTGAGTTGTATTTCCTTCCTTCTCTTCCATGTCATCCATCTTTTTTATCATCCTCCTTTATAACCATTCTTCCCCATCGTTCTTTCTTTCTTTCTTTGTGTGTATTCAAGGTTCAAAGGCTTTTTTGTCATATCTACAGCTTGTGTAGTTATACAATGTACATGTTCCAATAAGTCCTCCAACAATGCAACATAAATATATATGACATAAAACAATACAACTAAAATAAAAAACAACACAAATATTTCAAGAAGAAACAGAGTAGAAATAAAATAGTGCAAGAGAATGTTGCAAGTAATGCAGGAGAAGTGAACTCTATATATAAGTAAAACAGAATAAGATGATCTAAAAGTACAGTGTAAAATTAAATGTGTGTGTGTGTGTGTGTGTGTGTGTGTGTGTGTGTGTTTTGTGTTGGTGTGTGTGTGTCTGTGTGTGTGTGCATGTGTGACCAATTTGGCGTTATATCTCTGTTCTTGCCTGATTCTCTTACAACGCTATGTAACCCTCAGAGATGGGGGTCCCCAAAATGTATGTTCTGATCTGGTACCCCTACAATACCTCAAAGGCAAGGATGTGTGTGTGAGTGTGTGGTTGTGGACCTTGACTCCAGGGAAGGTGACCGCAGAGGAAGCGTAGGATCCGATCATCAGGGAGAGGATGGTTGATCGTACGTTCCCGAACATGTTAGGCAGCTAAAGAGAGAGATAAATGAGTTCTAATATTAAACCAGTGAATCAACAATATTCAATATGCTGCTAAATCTATTGATCAGCTATGACCTTTGACCTTTTTCCAGGCACGACCCAGTGTACAATGTTAGAAGAATAAATCTATTCATTTTCTGTCCAGAGAAAACGAATGTGAATTCTCAGTGATTGAATCGCACCTTGAAAACATAACCAATAGGTGGTGCTAGTGAATCCCTTTACACCACACTCTGACACACACACACACACACACACACACACACACACACACACACACACACACACACACACACACACACACACACACACACACACACACACACACACACACACACACACACACACACACACAACACACACACTTACTTCAGGGGACATTACATTGACTTACATGCATTTCTTGGAGACTTATCCTAACCTTAACCATAACTAACACATGCCTAACCCTTACCCTTACCCTAACCAAGTCTTCACCCTAAAATTAATGATTCCCCTCATGGGGACCTCCATTATGTCCCCATAAGGGGGGCGAGTCCCCACACGTGACTGTGTAAACAGATGTAGGTCCCCACAAGGATGGTAATGCTAGGCCACACAACAACTTGGCGTGAGAGTTTGTGAACATTCTGAGGCCGTGTAGGTGGTACATTCTGGTGTGTATGTGTGTTTGCAGACTTTCTCTAGAAGCAGCTCCGCTCACACTATAGGCCTCCATGTTCAACTCACTGCTTTTATAACATTAATGAATGGATGTTCATTTCTATTCCCGTATGTCCTATTTAATCAATCGACTAGTTCATTTATCACATGTAATCTTAAGGAAAATTCCCCTGACATCAAATACCTGCTCCTTCAACTTACTGCAAAAAAAAAGAAAAACATTAGGAGACTCTATACTGGCTTTCGTTGAGTTGATGTTTTGATCCTCCCCAAAACCCAAAAGTAGTGACAATGTATCTTCTCTAAAAGGAACAGCACTCACCTGATCACATGTATCTCTGTATGATCTGAATTGCAATACAACACACATGAATTATACGCGGAAATGGAATAAGATATTTAAAATCACAAAAAGGTATGTTTACATATGTTTGTCTTTCATTATTAGTGTTAGGGGACAAGTCACCAAAAACTGTAACTTCTATCTCCCAAATGCTGCTACTTAATCATAAAAGTAGGTCATTTGAATATTCCCTTCACGAAGTTGTAGCCAAAGTCACAAAAGGACACAAACCATATAGCCACAACACACGCTATTACATCACTTTATATTGTAAAAATAAACATTTGGTTATCATTTTAAATACTTTCTGTATATTTCACGGTAACTGTTTTATTGTGTGCCTGTCGCGATAAGCAATTTAATTGACTTATCGTACGATAAATAAAAATGAACTCGATAACTTTTCTGACCTCGATAAATTGCCATTTACATGAGGATGTGACTAGCAGTTTGAAAGGATGTACTTGAATTATTATAATATATTATCATTATGTCAGTGGTCTAAAATGGTCATACAACGGTGCCGACAATATTATCGTTCATCGCAATAATTTCCGGGAAAATGTATCCAACAAAATTAATTATCGTGAGAGGCCTATACATGAAACACACACACACACAAATCTACAGACTTACGGCCCCTACACACGGCGGCGTGCGTTGACGCTTCAACGCTTCTGCCCATTCACTTTGAATGGGGTGACGTCACGATTCGCCGAACTGCATTCTGGGAGCAAAGCGTAGCTTTTCTCGCGGTGCTCGCTGCAAAAGTAGAGCAATGTTCTACTTTTGAAGCTGAGGCGGAGGCGCCAGCCAATCAAATCCCGCGTATGCAAATCTGCCAGTACAAGCGCTAGCCAATCAAACCGCGTGTATGCTGAGAGAGCCAGACCGCAGTTCATTTCCTCATATGCCAAAAAATGGAGGAGAAAATAATCGTGGCGGTAGGGAATCACCCGGTGCTTTATGATCAGTCTCTGTTCACCTACCGGGATACAAACCGGAGGAGCCAGGCATGGAGGGAGGTGGCAGAGACAGTGGGTGAAACTGGTAGGTTTTCGCCTGTTTGGGGAGTTTATATCCAGTGTACTTCGTTTGAATGGACAGCAGGCATAGACAGTATATTTAGCCACCATGCAATGTTGCATAAAATAGCACCATAGACATTAATTAAAAATCGCTTTTTAGACATTAAAGGGCCCATGTCATGGCCATTTCCACTGATCATAATTACATTGTTGAGGTATACTAAAATAGATTTATACTGTGCAATTTTCCAAACTCACATTGGTTTCGCATACAGCATCTCTGTCAAGCATGTGTATTCAGCAGTATTCACTCTCTCCACTAAACGACTCGTTGGAGCTCTTGCCCCCCCCTCCCTGTGAGCCTAGTGTGCTCCGATTGGTCAGCTCGGCCACTCTGTTCTGATTAGTCAACCACCAGATAGGCTGCGCCCATGTCTAAACGGCTGCTCTCAGCCGAACATCAGTCTTATCATGGCGTCGGTACAGCCGTATATTTTATACGCCAACTAACCGAACTGTACCTACAACTGTTGTTATAGAAGAGTGTGACGGCCCCAGGGCCTTTGTCTTACGATGGGGTGGAGCTGAAGAGGCTAATCAGCGCGATCACGGACACCTGGCCGGAGCCGAGGTGCTAGCCAGCTGCCCGGAGTCACACGGGCCCCTCTCTCCCTCCAAGCAGCTCAGCAATCCTCTCCCCCTCTCTCTGCATTTACCACAATAAATGTGCCGTGGTTTTGTAAACTCGTGTATGTCTCCTTGTCTTTCCGTTGTGGCCTACGAGCCGGTCATAACAAAGAGTAAGTTATTTTTACCCGTTATAAACTACTACTGTTTGATGAGAAATCAAATCATGGTTTGCTATATATGAATGATACGTTATAGGAGCAAATAATTCAGGGAAGAAAGGATAGGCCTACTAAGTATTTCCATTAAACTTTATTTTTAGAAATGTACAAAATGAACGTAAATATACATATATACACGGTATATCGTCAATTACTCCTCGTTGTCGGCATCTTGCTTATAGCAGCCGGGGCTTTTTGAGACGATGCCTCAGTGTGGTCGTCCAGTCATGTATTGTCCGGCAGGATCTGGCTGGACGAAATCAAATGCAAATCACAAAATATTAGAGAAACTTAGTTGTTTTAGATTCGTTAGTAGTAGTTGTGGTAGGAGTGTGGATATATCTAATGAACAGCTTGCCTGCTAATATGCTAACCTAGCTTTGTTTACCTTGGTAGCTAACACGATATGAACGTTAGCTTGGAGTAACGGAGTGTAATAAAACTACTATGAACAAAAGTTAGTGGTTCATATTAGGCTAGCAATAACGTGTTTATAATTGCATTATTCTACGGGTAGTCTGCTACGTTCGGTCATACAATGTTTCCCGCTAGCATGTATAGCTAGCCTCGTTAGCTATACATGCATAGCTAGCCTCGTTAGCTATACATGTACTGTCACAATGTACGGTAAATCACCCGGAGTATACTGTATGAGTATTTCGTGTGTGTGACTGCAGACATTCTCCTGCCATGACAAACATGTAAGGCCATCTGCTGATATTGTAGTTGATATATTTAAACGCTAGCAACGTAGCATAACAAAAATGTTTTTCCGACCAAACTAAGGTCTAGCTCCGTCGGTAGATCGGTAGCATACACGCTACGCCAGCTATAATGTAATTACGTTTCGCGACTGACCGAACGGTAAATCACCAGGAGTATACGGTCTATGACTATTTCGTGTGTGAATGCAGACATTATCCAGCTATGAGGAACATGTATGTAAGGCGATCTGCTAATATTGGAGTTGATATATGGAAACGCTAGCAACTTAGTTAGCACAGTTAGCACTGGCTTAGCAGTCCGAAACATGTTTACACATTTAAACAGTCGTGGTAGCTACCTTGTTTGATAAATACACAAATAACAATGCAAACTTACAGGTTGTGTACCCGAATCTTCCCCTGCTCCAAACGGTCCAAACAAGCTGTGCATATCCGGCCTCAAACTGGGCAATGTTTTGGAAGCTTTCGTCTGTGAAATGCCGGTTCTTCGAACCTCTGGAGGAACAGAAAAAGACATTTCAACCACTGACTTCGTCGTGGTTCTTCCGTCGGTAGGACAAACAGCTCAGATTTCTCCTCACATTTCAGGAAACAGGTCCTTGGCAGTGGCATGACTGGATCGATTGTGAACTGAACCAGAGCTTCCAACAGTAAATGGCTGGCAGAGGGTGCGGCCAGCGCCGCTGGGTGTGGCCATAGCTCTTCGGGATTGGTCCATTTCGTTCCGGGTACCGCATGACATCAGGCCGTACCCGGAACTAAATGGAAGACTCAAATGGGCAGTGACGTATCTCCAACGAGGCGTTTTGGGGAGGTATTTTCTGTGTTAGAGTTTTACTCGCTACAGGGTGTACTTTGAGGGTTTTGACTCTGCACACCGTTTACATGCATAAAAACCTTCATAACACACAAGGGGGCGGGTAATAACCGGAAAAGCATGACATGGGAGCTTTAATGTCTATGGTGAGATTCATACACGGGAGCCTTTTTAAAGCCTTTTTACCCCGCTGCAAACAGAGATTTTTTTAAATACTAACATAAAATACACATTCTGGTACTCTCTTGAGAAGAAAAATAAATAAATCTATTACTACACATTTAAAAAAATGAATGCCATATTAGTTTTTTTGTTACTTTGTTCTGAAAGCTGAACCTGCTGCAGCAGTGCTGCTCCTCACAGAGAGAAGAGGGAAGAGGCTGTGTGAATTACTTTACATTGTGGATAAGGGTGGATAGCCCCCATTGTTCTGTGTGTCAAAATGAAAGACAGCCCACACACCTATCAATCATCAAACCGTGGGGTCTTATTTCATTACGTGTTGATTTCTATCAACACGTAATGTTGTATCGATGTATAGAGATGTACTACCGCAAAAGTATTCTCCGTCGGGACTTCCTGCAACAACACCACGCCGTTATCGTGATTCTGATTGGCCAGAAGACATTATCAAAGATGTTCTATTGAGAAGACGATCACTACGTGACAAAAGTTTTCAAAACCGTTTCTAGTCTTCGTATTCTTGTTTTTGGCGTGAGAATTGTTTGGGCAGCGTGAGAGCGTGAGATTGAGAGTGAAAGCGTGTGTCACACGCCAGATGCGTGAGAGTTGGCAACTCTGACTAAATAGGCTCAGCAGCTAACACACCTTTATTATATATCCTCCTGAGAACATCTGCATCCGTCTGCCATGAACCCTACAGAAACCTACGTGTTAGTTGTGGCCCATAGTGGCCTCCATTTGTGTCGTGTAAAATGGGGGAAATCAAAAGTTAGCAAATCCCCATGTCATGTTCATAAAAACATTTAGTTTTAGGTCAAGTAATGATTACACTGCTCTGAAACTCACTACACTAACTCCTAAGATGTTCCCTTACTATAATTAATTAAAAATATTGAACTCACAACACTGGTAATAACAAACTTAACCATTTCTCTTTCTATAAATAAATAGTGCTTGTGTTGGACGCCATTTTGAAATACAATGAAATTATCTTTTTGAAAGCCACAATAAATAAAGCTTCGCCAGTTTACCGATGAAACATGATGGTATTTGACATTTGCAACAACAACTACAGTTGAGTCGTTGCCAATGAAATATAAGTTTCTCCCTCCCTCGAACAGGGCTATTATAATGTATTATAAAAAAGAATGCAGTAAAAGGGAGAATCCAAGATAGAAATAATACACAAATTATTGCAGAAGTTAAAATAAAAATATAGTAATGTGATTGTTAGAAATTAATATATACATCTATAAAGTCATATTCCCCAGTCATATGGGCACTAGTTTAGTGGTTTATTGAAATGTGGCACACTTTCCTTTTTCTATTGACACTGTTCTCCCTCTGTAAAGACTGCAGACTGATAAGAAAATCGGTCAGGCTGGGCTCTTTCATAATCACACAGTGTGGCCGCTGTGGGCACAACGTGTTCTCTGCTGGTATGTTATTCGCCAAAGGCTCTTATCTGACAAATCTACACTCTTGTTTGTTTGTAGCCTTTATTTATCCAGGTTAAAAAATCCCATTGAGATCAACGATCTCTTTTACAAGGGAGACCTGCCGCACATTGGTTACACATGTAACAGAAAACAAAAAAGGACACATACAACATAATGACAGGGGTACAATTTACAAACTTATTCACAAAGACAGGTACCAGGAGTATCAAATATCAATTCCTCAAGCTGTGCTTTAAAATGATGCAGGGGAACCAAAATGCTCATTTTTCATATTTTTTGCAGAGTGTTCCATGCTAGAGGAGCTGCGCACATAAAAGCTTTAGTGCCTAAAACAGTCCTAGCACTTGGTACATGTAATAAAAACACATCCTGGGATCTTAGGCAATAGCTACTTGCGACTTTATCTACATCTACATTGAAAGCACTCCTACTCTAAATGGAAACAGGTTGGTTGCTATCATTGTTATGTACATTTATTTATATTTATTTATAAAAAAGCCATGACCTTTAAGGCGAAAATAAAACAGATCATACCACAGTGCCGAAAGTAACAGTTTGCTCATTGGGCACTGGGAGAAGAGCCTGAGTTTGTTCTGGCAACATTTAAAAAGGACATAGTATGCTCATTTTTGGGTTCATATTAGTATGTAGTGTCTCTACTGGGACATGTCTCCATGCTTTAATGTTCAAAAAGCTCTTTATTTTTCTCATACTGCCTGTGCTGCAGCACCTCTTTTCACCCTCCGTCTGAAACCAGAGCCCAGTCTGCTCTGATTGGTTAGCTGGCTGGCTCTGTTGTGATTGGTCAACCGCTTAGAGATGTCCCACCCCTTAGCCTATCACAGACAATGTGTTGGAGCGCTAGCCAATAGAAGCTTGAGTGTTACATAGTGATTTCATTATAGGCGCGTTCACACCGGAGTACTTTTCCCCGTATTTTTCCCGTTTAGTTCCGTTAGTACCCCTTATTTTGCGTTCACACCAAAAAGAGTACTTAGTGCCGGGAACTTTTACCCCCATTTTTAGTGCCTGCTAGAGAGGTGGTACCATCCTGGGGAGAAAAAAGTACCAATTTCTATTGGCTGGGCGAATTGCAAACCACGCCCCGTAAAACTCTGAAAGGTTTTGTGAAGCCGCCATTGTATTTGCTGGCATTAGCATTAGCATTAGCCCCGCGCACCAACGGAGAGAGAATAACTTATGGCAACAGAAAAAAAAACATGGGAGCGGTGGAGTGATGAGGAGGTGTCGGCGTTCTGGCGATTTACTCGGAAGCTTCAGTAGAAGCAGCTGGGAGTCCCAGCAGCTTCTACTGAAGCCAGTCCCCAACTCCGGGGACTTCCGGCCGGAGACTTCGGGTGGCAGTATACGCCGTGAAGTGGTTTGCGGCCTGCCAGTAAACCCAAAGCAGAAGAAGACGAAGTGACGTCAGCGGCTCATTTGCGTAATCTTCCCTCAGGGAATTTATTCCGGTGTGAACGCGATCTGTACTTAGTGCCCTGGGGGTAATAAGTGCCGGGGCACTAAGTATGGCAAAGTACTTGGTGTGAAAGCGGCTTATGTTACGGAAGTTAACAAAGGAGTCCAATGGAGGCGTTTCAGGCAAAATCCTATAGAACACACTACAGGAAAGGGAGAAACCCTACAAAGCCTAATCTGGCCTCTTTAAACTATAGCCGCCAGGGTGCGTTTCGTTTTTCCCGTGTCTGTGACTCTTTATTTAATCCAAAGAAAATATCAAAACACGAAGGGATCACAGGTATTCACCTCTCCTTCTTTGGACGGAGGCCAGACTGGCGCTACAGTGACTCACTATTGCCTCTCGAGGAACAAGTTCTTCCTCAACACTTCCCCTGCTCTGCCTCTGCCCCGCCCCTAAAGCATCCACCTCCAACGCTGTCCGCCCCCAGGTCCTCAGTTAACCTCTACTGTTTCTAGGCCAGTTGCGTCCGAGAGTTTCTGTATACTCTTAGTCTTTATCAATATGTATTAAGGCTAATAGTGGCCCTGCTTAGACCAAGGAAACAGAATATTTAAAATAACACTCAGTTTATTATAGAACAACCTGCCCTACCAGCATTATCAGGGCGTGTTTAAAAGCTAGTTAGGTTAGCGGGGAATGTGCACTGTTTACATTAAGTAGTTATGTAAAAGCTTATCAACTAGATAATACACACCAGACACAAACACACAGGAATGACAGCAGTGAGGCCAGAATGACCATGTCAAGTCCAGGAAGAGACAGGGGGAGGAACACAGGAAGGTTGACAGGAGGACAGGGCCATGGAGGGTGTGTTGTCCGCCCAGGCTTTGGATTGGCTTAGAGGCCGCAGCGGAATTTAGAACAAGTGGTACAGCATGTGCTGCTTTGCAACACACACACACACACACACACACACACACACACACACACACACACACACACACACACACACACACACACACACACACACACACACACACACACACACACACACACACACACACACACACACACACACACACATCATATGTTCATATTCTCAGGTGGACACAAAGCAGTGTTTGGAAGCTGAATGCTGAACTACACAGAGGTTGTTGGACTCTGAAGGCCTACGCCCACTCCCCAGTCTGTGATGTCATGGCAGGTGTTTTGACTTTGATATAGAGGGATGGAAAATTGGGACACGAGGCGTCCTGGTGACCTAGGAGTCTTGCTGTCCCATGGTCAGGTCCTTTGTCCTGTGTCCCTGTCCTCTTTCTAATGCTGCCTGTACGTCATAACTTCCACATTGATGAGACCAGATGGCTTATTTTAGCTCCACATTGACACGCTAATATCTTGTGCTTTTGTATTGCGTTTCAACTGTTTTTTTAAATGTCTAAGAGGACTGAATGTACTTTACATCATCAATTAAGATAGGACAGCTAAATTAAGCAAAACCTTAAGTCCCTAGCTCCTCCAACAAGGCAACATAGTTATAAAAGACATAAAACAATAATAAAATAAAAGAAATAGTGCAAGAAAAAACAGAGTAGAATAGAATAGTGCAAGTAACGCAGATGAAGTAACCTATATACATGTCAGGAAAATGAATAATATATGTGTGTGTGTGTGTGTGTGTGTGTGTGTGTGTGTGTGTGTGTGTGTGTGTGTGTGTGTGTGTGTGTGTGTGTGTGTGTGTGTCATACTGTGAGTGAGGTGAAGGTCAGGCAGATTCCTCCGAAGCCGTTGAAGGAGACAGCGAGGAAGATGAGGAAAGACAGCGCTGATGGAACACACGGAAATAAAGAAAATAAGCTTTATTGACACTTTAAAGGTGCATTCAGAGTTTCTTTCAATGTGGGAGTTCAAATGTGTACTTTCATCCATCATTCAAAACTGACAGTGAGCACCCAACATGTTCAAAATGATTTCTGAAAAACGATGTGAAGAAAATGTAATTTCCTTTTACAACACACAGTTGGGGAATTAATTAATTAATTCTGTTCCAAGTCACTCTAACTGTTTGTAGCCGGTTTCGTCAAGGACTTGTAAATGCATTTCTATAGCTTGACAGATAATTGAAAACATTTACAAAATAGGACATGAAGTTAAAAAGGCTGCATGTTTTTTCTATATCTCTGGTGGAGTATTGTACTGTTAAGGTACCTTCAGGATCATAAGCAGCGGCAGCCATGATGGCACAGGAAGCTGCGAAACATGCGCTGAAAAAGACACAGGATGTCAGAGCACGTTGACTGTGGTTCCAGTGTTACTTTTATTTAATAGGTTGAAATCTGCGCTTATGTTCTGATAAAAGGCAAATAACAAAGGACTGTCTGTCACACCTGCCAACGAGCCTCAGTGGGCGTGGCCCAAATCTGTCCATCAGGATGCCCAGAGGCAGAGTGGCTGCACTCAGGAGGAAGGAGCCAATGGTGAAGCCCAGGTTCAACACCTCCTCCTGCTCCGTACAGCTCGGCCAGGCCCCGCTCTCCACCACGGTCACGTTGGGGTCCACAGTCACATTTTCTGGATGGTTTCATAGAAAAAAGGAGAATGTAGAGAACAGAAAAGATCCTCACTGCACTGAGAACCGCGACATGACACTGTCTGGGTAAAAATAACACAATATACCGCTGCCAACAGGATAGGCCCAGAGTAGTTAGTCTTTGTGTTGGTGGTCACAGGTCAATGCAAGAGGCTGGTTTGTCTCGGTCTGGGCTGATTTTTGGGAAGTTCATTTTGTCCGCTTGTTATTAATCACATGGTAGTTGCAGCTTTGATATATGGTCTTGTTTTATAGAGGCTCAAACCTTAACTAAATAAACGCACTGCTGCTGTTGCAAACACTGCCAAAAGCTTTGCCAATGACTCATGTTAAGATGACATTATTAAACAATATGTTCTATTAGTTCTGATTCTATGTAAAAGTTCAAAGCTGGTAGAGGAGGCTTTAGTAGCAATATTCTGTTCTTTCATGTGGCTTGTGTAGAATATAAAAGAGGCTCTTCTTGATCCTGGCCAATGACCATCTGCATACACTGAGGGTCAGTGTTTTTTCTTTCTAACTTCTAAGAGTACATTAACAGAAGCATCCTATATCTTGTTTGACCCTTAATGTTACCAGCTGGCAAAGTAATCTCGCATGTCTTGGATTAAGTTTCAACAAAAAAATTACCTAAGAAACTAAATAGTTAATAGTATCCAAAGAGACTCAAGGATCATCTTTTATAGTAGTTATTTTTAAAACAAGAAATATTGCAAAATGTAATGGTTGTCATATCCATCAGTAAAATCAGTCCTGGAATAGACTCCAAAAACAATCATGTTCTCCTCAAAGAAATAGAAACCTCCCTGAACCTCGAGCATGTCGGCACTAAGTCACACACCTAAAACATTTAAGCATCTGTCTGTGCCAGATGTACTGTACCACTATTAGAAATGTCCATGTAAAAAACCCTGTAACACAATAACATTGTAGCTTTGAAATGATGGGAGAATGTTATGTGCCTACTGGGGATGTTAACGGGACTAGAAAGGACCAGAGGGCAGTTCTGATGGTGCTCTCACCAACACAAAGGTGTGAGTAGAAGCCTTCGCTCTTCAGCATGATGAGCAGTGAGCCCCAGCCCAGCAGCACCGCAGAGAAGAGCAGGTTCTCTATGATGGCTGTGACCGCCATCCACCACCTCCTCCTGAAGGCCTGGGCCAAGCTGGGAGCCATCACAGCTGCTGGACAGGAAGCATGAAGAGGAAAACATTAGTCCACTGAACAGCTGGGAATCTGGACAGTCCAACAAATCTTAACTCTGTGCCAACATGCTTTACTACCTTGTAGTTTTCCCCCACAACGTTAAACCCCTGAACAGAGATCATACTGTTTCTGTTTCAAGATGTCCTTATGCATTTCTCATCTCATCTGTGGAGGCTTTTGCAATTTGTTTCCTCTCTATCTTGTGTTTGACAAGCCTAGAAAAACAATACAAGGGTGACCCAAAACAAGTTTCTGCAAATACAGTAGTGGAGTAATTCAAATATGTAGAAGGTGTTATATCTTTATTTCATTTGAGTGGTCAGGGTTATTGGATATGTAACTTAAGATACTTCGAATGCAAGACCATTGCTTTACACTTTGTCATCATCAACATCTTTTTAATGTTTCGTCCCTTCTTGAATTACTTTTCAATTGTAACTATTATTGTTGTAATTGTCTAATTTGACTTAATTGCAGTCCTTAAATAGTTTGTCTTCCTGTGTAAAACATGTAAAGCACTTTTATTTTATTTTTGAATAATGAATAAGAAAAAGTAGGGGCTGTTAAACTGAGATTATGATTACATTGTGATATCAACGGTGAGTGAAAATGTAACTGAACTTGGTCTGTAAACTATGATGCATATTTGGGTAATAACGTCTGATAATGTTCTGATTAGTAAATACTATAATAATTCAGGAAAACCTTTCCCAACATAGAATAATAGCATGACAACATGTTTTAAAATAAACTGGGTTGTAATTATACTGTATTCCCTCACCAATCATTGCCTGTCAGTCTTAATCCAAGTTTATTCAAAACACACAGTGGAGTTTTTTTCATTTCAAAACCAATTCATTGTCTATATTAATTCTTAAGCAGTTAGCTAATAAAATATCTAACTTTGTATATCCCAAAATGACATCTCCATTTATTCTAACTTTTTGGCACTATACTTTATTGTCCCCTTAAGGAAATCAGTTTTGGACTCCGTCCTGCAGTTCCACAAAAGATTACAAAAAATCATAAAAAGGCTACTACGTATACAGTAGTACACGATAAGTGGTTATGTAGTCATTTTGATCCAAGATCCCTCCGCTTCGCGTCGGGTTCCCTATTCATCCTGAAGGGTGTTCTTTTCCACATAATGACCGCCTCGCTGCACATTATCCCGCTTATGACACGGCCAGATACATAACAAACTAACGACTCGACTCACAATATTAATTGAAATGATTTTATTGACTTAAAAATGATCGTATTTCTTCTTCTAAGAAAAAAAAACTCTGTTTCACGGCGCACCAACGGCGGAAACTGCGACTACACCAACTTTACGGCAGCATTGTCCAACTCTGTTTACAGCTTCTGATCCACTAACAAGTCCTTAAACACTACAGACATGACATACCGTGTTCCCGTTAGTGTTTCCTTCCTGTCTGCCTTCTTCTGGTGATTTATCTGACGTCCAGCGCTCCATCTTTTAACCTCTTTTTTTCCCTTTCTCTTTCTTGATCCTCCTTAGCAACGGTCATTATAGTCCCTGACAGCGGTCTGTACTACTGTATTAACAACGTGTCACATGTTCTGAATTGACCAATCAGAATCGAGTATTCAACTAAACGGCCATATACTAAACAAACTAACAACTCGACTCCCAATATGAATTGAAATAATTTTATTGACTTAAAAATGATCGTTCCGCTAAGAGAAAAAAAACTCCGCACCAACGGCTGGAACTGCGACAACAACAACTTTATGGCAGCACTCAGCACTGTCCAACTCTGTTCACAGTTTCTGATCCACTAACAAGTCCTTAAACTCTGCAGAGCTCATACCGTGTTCCTGTTAGTATTTACTTCCTCTCTGCCTTCTTCTGGTGATTTATCTGATGTCCAGCGCTCCGTCTTTTACCCTCTTTTACTTTCTCTTTTTTGATCCTCCTTACTTAGCAACGGCAGGAACTGCTTCGATAACGTTTTTGCGGACCTTTTTGATTACAGATTTGAAAACATCTTTGCTTGCTTTAAAGGTAGGGTAGGTAAGTTTGAGAAACCGGCTCGAGATACACTTTTTGTTATATTCCATGGAATGCTCTTAACATCCCGATAGCAATGAATATCTTAAGTGCTTTGACAAAAAATCCATAAAAGAATTTCATCTGTGGAAGCCGTAGTACTGTAAAAAGCACGACCAATCATTTTAGCCGGCCCGGCTAAAATAACTGGATGGCCTACCTGCCTGTCAGCCTTCCATCGGGGCACAAACTTATCTCGTGCCCTCATTGGTAGAGATGGCAAATCCGGATCCTTTTACGGACTCAGGGTCTTCTGAGTCAGTCATTGAAGAGATCCGGATCATACGAGTCATTTGAGTCATATGAGTCAGCATGACCAAGACCGTAGAAATCCTATTGGTGAAACCGAAAAGTTGTTGCATTTCACGAGCATATTATTATTCCATATATTTTGAATATATATATATAATATCTGCATGTATATTTTCTATTTCGACATGTATATTTTATATTTTATATTTTATTTTATTTTTCTTTCTATTCTTGTATATTTTGTAGTTTTGTTTTATTGTAAAATGCCTTTTATGCTGCTAAAAAAATAAAATAAAAAATGTTGATCACAAAAAAAAGGCTTATTTTGCGATTTGGCGAATCTGAGTCTGCTGTTGACTCGTGCATGAGGACGAGTCTGCTGGATCTCTGGATCTGCTGCTATATACGGCTCCGAGTCCGCACGAGTCTGGATTTGCGAATCTGAGTCTGCTGTGGACTCGTGCATAACGACGAGTCTGCTGGATCTCTGGATCTGCTGCTATATGGTTACGGCTCCGAGTCCGCACGAGTCTGCTCTGCTGTGTGTTGCACAGCGAGTCAGGATTTGCGAATCTGAGTCTGCTGTTGACTCGTGCATAACGACGAGTCTGCTGGATCTCTGGATCTGCTGCTATATACGGCTCCGAGTCCGCACGAGTCTGCTCTGCTGTGTGTTGAACAGTGAGTCAGGATTTGCGAATCTGAGTCTGCTGTTGACTCGTGCATGACGACGAGTCTGCTGGATCTCTGGATCTGCTGCTATATGGTTACGGCTCCGAGTCCGCACGAGTCTGATCCGCTGTGTGTTGCAGCGAGTCAGGATTTGCGAATCTGCGAATCTGCGAGTCTGCGAGTCTGCTGTTGATAGCGCGGGAGCCGGGTGCTGGAGGAGGGGCTATGCTCGTGCACATGACGAGTATGGATCTCTGGATCTGCTATGCTATTACGGTTAGGAGCCGTCGGCTCCTCTGAGTCCCCACGAGTCTGCAGTAAGTTTCACTGATCCGTGTCCCCTCCCCTGAGCCAAACGATAACTTCTGGCAGGCAGCTATCCTGTATACTTGCTAAAGGGTAGGCAGATGGACTGGGGTACGTTGTAATGTGATTTTACATGTTATAAAGAGAGTAGCGAGTGACGCAACTTATAGTTTTAATTTGTACGTCACACCAAGTGTGGGACTCAAGGACTCGGGTTAATGGAGAGGGGAGACTCGTCACGACCAGCTCATTTCTAGGATCCGGGTTAATGATCCGGATGAATCAGGACTCGCCCATCTCTACTCATTGGTCATGTGCGCGTTCGTGTGTGTTGGAGGAGGGGCTCTGTAAGGAAGTGGCAGATTTTCTCTGGTTGTGTATTTTCAAATTCTTGCGATCTCGAGCCGGTTTCTCAAACTTACTGTACCTACCCTACCTTTAAAAGTAGCACAATTCATTATGTCAAACCTTGGAAAGTATCTAGATATCCCTGCCCTAATGCAAAAGTAACTGGCAACTGAATATGTTTTGCCGTTTGATGTCTATGTCTGGACCGTTGCGTAAAAAGGAGGGTTTCTGCCCCGTTACTTCCCCGCTGTTTTCTTGTCCCAGTTTGAAAAGCAAACTGCATGCAGCAAACTGCAAACTGCAGCTGGGGCAGTAACTATAGTAACGCACTGTAGGCGGAGCCGTGACGTCATCTTCAATGCAAACCCCAGAAAAACAACACAGCCGTTAGCTGTTAGCACTCAGAGCTCACAGCTCCTCATATATGTTCAGAAACTAGACAAAAGTTAAACAAGTACAAACCACAGACTGTCTATGTCATGGTGAATACAGTCGCTGCTTTATTTATGTCTGTATAGGCCGTTGTTGTGAGTGTGGACGGTCGGAGCATATACTGCGTTAGCTTAGCCAATCTTCATTTATAAAACACGCATTTTAAAAGGTTTTTCGCCTGCCGTCTGTCTGCAGACTTGACAAAGCATTAATTCATGGTTTTTACTAACCGGTATCAGTATGTTGTTACTTCGGCATCATTTTGAAACGTGTATTACAATTAAATCACGGTCAAATATGTCCATCTTGTTGTAGTTGTAGCCCCCTTGCCAGCGATGCTCTCTCTAGTTTAGCATACTCAGCCCGACTCAGCCTCGTTGTCTCTGGCCCTAGACCCGCGATTTTATGAGGCCAGAAAAACTGTGAATTAGGACCCGCCGGCCGGTACTAGGCCAAGTGGAAACTCAACGAAAGACGGGCCGCTGACGTCACAGCCCTCTTAAACCGTGCTCCGCGCTGTAGTGGAAACGCGCCATAAGAACCTCGATTTTATGGGACCAGAAAAACTGTGAAATAGTACCCACGCCTAGTGGACCAAAAACGGGCCGCTTAAACCGCGCTGTAGTGGAAATGCGCCATTAATCTCCTACCAGAAGGTAATAGATGGAGCTTTTGGTGGAGGATGTGGATCAATAAATCAATCAAAGTTTATTTATACAGCCCAATATCACACATTTTACAGTTGTCTCAGGGACCTTTACAGTTTACACACAGGATATGAATATGACACCCTCTTTCCTTCTGTCCTTGACCCTCACATTAGACAAGGAAAAACTTCCAAAGAAACCCCACAGTCAACGGTGGCAAAAGGGAAGAAAGTGGGTGGGATAA